ACTTCTCTGTTTTGCTCTCGAGTTCTATTTGTATGGCGGAAATAGTGTTAAACAAGTAGAACCTATCTAATAATGCATGTGTAATACTTTTGGTTTATGAATTTACCGACATATACTACATAGCCAACTTTGTTAACAGTGTCTTAAACTCAGAATTGCATTCACAATCAAAATCAACTTGACTTACAACTGGTCAAAATTTCGAACTCTTTTGTCTGTCTTGTTGGAGATTTTAGTTCAACTCTTTGTTGCTGCATGAAATTACATTATTCTTGTTTGTTATTTTCACTTGTGATCGTTACGCATATCCCGATCAAAATGTTATACTCTATAATGCAATTGTATTTCCGCAGGTAAATTTTGCATTGAGGTCACTCCTGCTTCCAAGATTGCATTCATATCAGAGGAACTCTGTATTGGCTGTGGAATATGTATCAAGGTTGGTTTTAATTTTTTTGTGGTTATCATTGATTAGTCTTATATGGATCGGAGATGAATTTTATTTATTTATTGTAGAAATGCCCTTTTGGTGCTATCGACATTATTAATTTGCCAAAAGATTTGGATAAAGACACAACTCACCGCTATGGCGCAAATACCTTCAAGCTACACAGGTAAACATTCTTCTACTCCATGTTAGAGTAGTGGACTTTTAAGTGTGGGAACTGTGGCTAATAACTTCAAATTGCAGGTTACCTGTGCCACGCCCCGGACAAGTTCTTGGTTTAGTCGGGAAGAATGGAATAGGAAAATCTACAGCACTTAAGATATTATCAGGAAATCTGAAGCCAAACTTTGGCCGCCTTGATGTACAAGTCAATTAGTGTACTGAATAATCATTTCCTCTTGAAATTTGAATAGCATTAATATTTTAATTTTCTCTTCTGCAGAATCCTCCCGATTGGCAGGAAATTGTGTCTCGCTTTAGGGGATCTGAGCTGCAGAATTACTTCATTCGCTTCCTTGAGGACAATCTGAAGGTGGCATTTAATCTTTGTATTTTCATAAGATTAGTTTAATTTTGAGCTAGCATGGATCACAGGAAGGGACACAAAACAAATGAAACTATGAACTAACAAGCTGTAGTGGACAATGAATCTAAATAATTTTTAGCGTATGTGGTCTAATTAACATTTCTGTTACTTTCTTGTCACATCTCACACCATGAGTTGCGATGTTAAGGTTGTCTTTGTTTCCAGCCTAATTGTGTGAGTTGTCCTACCAAGTGAAAGCTCTTGGTTTCAGGAGCCTGACATAAAATAGAAAATGTCTTTTTCTTCCTCCAGATGAATTATTTTTAAGTTTCTTTTATCTAAATCGTGTCTAATCATCAAATTTTGCAGGCAATTATCAAACCCCAATATGTCGATGACATTAGAAAATCAGTGGAGGGAACTGTTGGGGAGTTGCTTGATAATAAAGATGAGAAAGGAGTTAAAACAGAAATATGCCATGATCTTGATCTCGACATGCTTTTAGAGCGCAATCTGAAAGAGTTGTCAGGTGGAGAGCTTCAGAGATTTGCCATAGCAGAGCGTTCTATTCAGCGTGCAGATGTGTACATGTTCGATGAACCTTCCAGTTATCTAGATGTGAAACAGAGGTTGAAAGCTGCACAAGTTATCAGATCACTTCTGTCGCCTAAAAGGTTATTATAACATCTCCCATCAACACCAGATATGATACTCATGTTTCTTGAATTAGTTCAAATGATCATGAAATGCGGAAGACCTTGTCACAGTCATAAAAAATGTTTGAAGAATTATGAAATGGAATATTGGAGGTGGATATCTAATTAGACATACTGAATTATCTATTTTATTTAATCACAGCTATATCATTGTCGTTGAGCACGACCTCAGTATCCTGGATTATCTGTCGGACTTCATCTGCTGCTTGTATGGGAAGGAAGGAGTATATGGAGTTGTTACACTTCCTTTCTCTGTTCGAGAAGGAATCAATGTCTTCTTATCGGGTTTTATTCCTACTGAGAATCTACGATTTCGGGAGGAATCATTTACTTTCAAGGTTGGTCAGAATTTATTTTTCAGTTCTAGCTTCATGTTATTGTGGTTGATTTTAATGTAGATCTGTTTTTGTGTTTAGATTACTGAGACTGCAGAAAGTGCAGAAGAATGGGAGTCTTTTTCTCGCTATCAGTACCCAACTATGAGTATAACATTGGATAGTTTCAAGCTCAAGGTAGAAGAAGGTGAATTTGCAGAGTCACAGATTATTGTAATGCTGGGTGAGAATGGGACTGGGAAATCCACATTTATCCGTATGCTGGTAAGATGACTTGTTCTTCGATTTGTTGTACGGTATGTCAAGTTATGATTTGGTATCCTTTGTTAGGGTAATAGAGGGGTGAAAATTGGAAATTTTCCGATTCCGACCTCAATTTTCCGATTTTGGAACAAATTTTTCACTTCGAATTCCGAAATTCCGATTTCCAAATTTTCCGAATATTACACTTAAAATACCAAGATTATTATGTATTTTATATCTTAGGTGACAGAATTGGAAATATCCAAATTCCGCTGATTCTGTCCGATTTTGTCACAAGTTTTTTTTCTTCCAATATCCGAAATCTTGAAATCTGTTTTTTTTGGAACGGAATTGGAATTAGTTTTTCATTTCCGAAGAAATCAGATTTTTCCGAAAAGGCTAACTGGCATGGGATTATAGTCGATATTCATGAGGTGCAGCACCAAAATGAATCAATTTAGTTGTTCGTAACTTTTTTCTGATGTTGCAGGCTGGTAAATTAAAACCTGATTCTGTAGAGGGTTCCGATGCCACAGTGCCCGAATTCAAGGTCTCATACAAGACGCAGATGATCCATCGTAAGTTTCCAGGCACGGTTAGAGAGCTGCTACATCGAAGAATCCCCGAGTCCTACATGGACCCACAATTTATTTCGGATGTTTTAAAACCACTCACCATTGAGCAGTTAATGGATCAGAAAGTTGCAGATCTCTCTGGTGGAGAGTCGCAAAGAGTTGAATTGTGCCTATGTCTTGGGAAGGTATGTATATTCTTTTAATTCATATAATAACTTAGTCCGATAGGGTTTTCATGAATGACATTAATTGTATTATGATTTTTATGCAGGCTGCAGATATATATCTGATAGATGAGCCGAGTGCTTATCTTGATTCGGAGCAGCGTATTATGGCTTCGAAGGTTATCAAAAGGTTTATTTATCATTCAAAAAAGACTGCTTTCGTGGTGGAGCATGACTTCATAATGGCGACATATCTGGCAGACAAAGTAATTGTATTTGATGGACAAGCATCTGTCGATTGCATAGCCAATTCTCCACAATCCTTACTAACTGGGATGAACAAGTTCTTATTGGTATTTCTCAAATCTTACCTTAGTATATATATATATATATATATATATATATATATATATATATATATATATATATATATATATATATATATATATATATATATATATATATATATGAAGTGCATTGCATAAGTTTCTATAAATGTCCATGAACGTTGATTTTTTTTTATAATGAGCAGCATCTGGACATTACATTTAGACGGGATCCAACAAACTATCGGCCACGTATAAACAAGATGGACTCCACAAAGGATAAGGAACAAAAATCTGCTGGGACGTTTTATTATCTAAGCTAAGGGCACCCCAACTCAAGACTCGTATTTCTCTCAGTTGCTTGGGCTCAAACTTTGCAGCTACGCCTTCGCCCATCGAGAAGGTGTTGTCTCGCAACTATTTCACCGCGCTGGAGAAAGAAGAAAGGATAGAACTTTGATCTCAACAAAAGTTAATACTTTGAGAGGTAGTTAATTTTTTTAATGAACAGAAATAATGCCATACTACTTTGTCAAATAATTTCTCCAACTAGATGTTCTTTTGCTTAAAGCAGGTAGTAGTTTGACTAAAGCAGGTGCTATCCCTCCGGTCTATATGATTGGCTTCACCCACAAACATTTCCGTAAAAAGGTCAGTAATTTATATATTTCCGTGCAACGATAAATATTGCAGATCTTGATATGCATCATTTTATTACAGTAGTTGTATATATTTATGTGTAATAGTTGTTGTATTTGCCTTGGTTATCAGCTGCTGCCGCTTTCATATGAAGTCCATGTGCTGCTGTCTCATGATAAATCCACAATAAGTGGTGAAGCTGTCACTTAAAAACCTTCCCGTTTATCGTTTCCTCGTTGGGTTTTAAACCTGTTTTCAACTACTGAGAACCTATTTCAAGTTTGTTTTCTGTTGGTTAATAATTTGATTCTTGGAATCTTGCTTTCAGGAGGTTCTTTGCAACCTCAGTTTGTTACTCTTGATGATTTAGACCATATATTTTTGTTGAAGATTTTTGTCTTGTTTAAAAGATGATTTTGTTATGCGTTTTTTGTTTCGTTTTTCGTAAATTCATGTTGATTCGTCTGCTATCTGCATTATACCTTTTGTCGAGTAGATTTTTATAGATACTTCATCTGGTCGTTACACTGGATAATTTTTCATATTTGATTTACGCACAACCGCGCACATGTACAAGTGGTATAATAAAATACGGTGAAATTCATCGGGTGTTGCGTTGAACAAACTATATCCATTTATTATAAGGTCCCTCATTTCTTTATTATTTATTATTATGGACATTCACTATTAAGGTTGTTGTCTACATCAAATAGCCAATTGTACTTTAATTTGATTCAAAATATTAAATCGGCACGTGCTGTTTGGCGGGAAAGTCGTTACTTTGGGTCCCAATACGACGCCACTTCACATGCACATGAGCTGTCACTCACTAATATTTCTATTTTTGGTGAATGCAGACTCTAAATTTTCACCAAACATCAATTTCATTCAATTTTGTGATTTTTCTTCCAACATTGTTTACTCGATAAAGTCGGTTTTCAATCATTATCGGACCTATAATGGTTGGGCCAGTAATGATTTTCACTATTCAGTAAAATCGATTGGTTGGGTCGGATAGGTAACTAACCGATAATTGTCCGACCCAATCGATAATCGATAGTATTGTGATCCTATCATTTATTTATTCATTTTTAATTAACAAAATAATTCATAGTAGTTGATGACAACAAAAGTGAAGATCATATCTAAGAATAGTGACAACATATCTCAAAATTTGTAATAACTTCACCTCCTTTTTTAAACCTAGTCATGTCTTTATTTTCAATTTATCCTTTATATAAAGTGAGACATAAAAAAGAGAAACAATAAAAAAAAATAAAAAAAAAAAATCCTCATTTGATAAATCATTAAAATCCTCGAAAATATATAGTCTTTTTTTTCTTACACTATTAAAATGAATAATGTTCAAGATGTAATTATTATATAATTAAATTGAGTAAACAATGACAATAGTATTAATTTAATCACTATTTAAAAAACCATTATTTAATTAATGATGAATTAGTTTTCTGATAAATCACAATTCACAGCCCTGTCTGTAAACAATTATCTCCACAGAGAAGCAGCCATTGGTTACAGCTGTATCCCACCCCCCTACAGGCTACATCCATCCACCACCATACTCTACATGCATACATGATACATACAACTACATGCATAATATCAATTTGAGAAAAATACATTTTTGTCACTAAAGTTTATCTCAATTTCATATTTGGTCCTCCTTATTCACACAAAAAGAAAAATCGATTTAGTCCCTTATCATTCAAAAATTCAATATTTTAATCTTTCCCGTTAGTATCTAACGGAACCAAGCATGTGCACCCCCTTAATTGATAGACTAAAAGTAAATTGACGGAAAAAACAAAAAAAATATTAAATTATTAAAATATGATGGACCAAATGTGTTTTTTATTGTGAACATGGGGACCAAATATGAAATTAGTGAAAATTTGATGGCCCAAAACTGTAAATTTCCCATATCAATTATACATAGTACTACAACATGAAAAAATCAAAAAAAATTTCCAATATTTTTTTCCTTGTAATTGGATAATCTTATCATGTGATTTGTTTTTGGAATGTACTCAATTAATTAGATTTGAGTTGCTCAATTTATATATTTGTTTAAGGGAAACCAAACAATGCACTTGTGTACAAAATGATAGATACACACTTACATACAAGCATTACATGCACACAGCAGACATACATTCATATATATACATACACATATACACATACATAAGCATTTCTTGGAGGGTGTGTTTGGTGTTTTGGTCTAATAATAATTTATCGAAATCCCATTATGGATCATTAACTCCCATTATATTTCTTGGATCTGCATAAAGAAAAAAAACCCATTTATTTTGAAGCTCAAAACAGACTGAAAAAAGATTCAATCTTGGTAAGTTAAAAAACGCCATGGGAATGTTCAGAGGTTTGTGGGATGAGTTCTTGATTAACGATATCAAAAGTTGCATTTTCAAAATGAAATTTTCTCCATAGCAAAGGTTGGATTCTGCAACTTTTTAAGTTTATCTGCTTTTTTTTTTTTTTTAAATGAAAATCGCCTTTGTTTATTGTCATTTAACTTGTTGAGAAATTTACTGATTTTTGGAGTTCAAGTTTGTGGATTGTGTGTTAAAACTCACTGTTCATATGTTCTGTTACTTTTTTTTTTTTTTTTAAATAAATTGATAAGCTGTAATTTATAAATTGATATTGATATATTTATTGGGGGGCTAAAATAAAATAAAAGAAACTGGAAATGGTTTATGAGCTTATGTTTGTAGCATTAGGAAATAAATTGAGCAAGAATTTTACCTGATATTGATATATTTAGGGTAATAAGAATCTCGTGAATTAACAAAAAGGCGAACCGTTTCTCTGTATCGGATTATGTGATTTGGTTCATTCGATAACCGTAAAAGAAAGCTCCCCTGTGAAGAATGAATAGTATAGTTCTTTATCTGCAACTCGAATATTCCTTAAATGCCACCAGTTTACGGTTATCACAATCGAGTGGAGTTTCGATTTTTAGCTAGCAAAGTTTCTTTTTCAAGAATGCATTTTTATTTTTATATGTCTGTGTGTAGTCTATTTAATGCCTAATATATGTGGAGTGAATCTTCGTTCGTATTTCTCAAGGTAAAAAATGGCAATTCGAAACTACGAACCGAAAGAACATTTTCTTGTTAGAAAACTAGTAATATTCAGTTGCTAATGTGACAGACTTTTACGAGCGCTTAAAACCAGAAACAACCTTCCGACAAAATGGGAAACGACTTCTAACAAAAGGAAAAAAAATGGATCCACAGGCATTCATTAGGCTATCGATCGGTTATCTAGGACTACGAGCAAAATCGAGTACTCACACACTCACTCCTCCATGTGTGTGTGAAATACGTCTCCGCGGTTTCCCAATTCAGAAAATGCAAATCCCTATAATACCCTCTTCCGAGACGAATCCCGATTATCACAGCATTGCCTCGAGCTTTTACCTTCAAGAATCGGACTTGAAATCACTTTTGACACCGAAATGCTTCTATGCCTCGACAGCTTGTCTGGAAATAGCAATTTTTAGTGGTCGAAAGAGCACACACTGTGGTGTTGGTGTGAAAAGGCAGCAAATCGGGACCTTTAAGTTGGATGTGAGCCCCGAATGGTGTGAGGGAAAATCAATCGTTCTTTTCGAAGGATGGAGTGGCATTAGCAAAAACAGGGGCCAAACGGGAATTGGAGTAGATTTTCACTTGAGGGTGAAGCTTGAGCCTGATCCGAGATACGTTTTTCGGTTCGAAGATGAGACGAAGTTGAGCCCGCAAATTGTGCAGCTGCAGGGCTCGACAAAGCAGCCTATTTTCAGCTGCAAGTTTAGTGGTGACAGGTATTTTTTTCGAATTAATTTCTTGCTCTCTTTTTTTGCATTTTTTTAATATAGTTTAGATTGATTTATATTTCCGACGATATTTCTGTCGAGATTTTCATCTGATCACAATCTAGAGATGGAAATTGGAACAAAATTCCCGATTTCTGCCAATTCTAATCTGGAGTTTTCCGATTTTTCTGTTTTTCAGTTTTTCTTTTTTTTTTTTTTTTTTTTTTAATATATATCGAAATTGGAATATAAATGAGATTCCGATTTCCGATCTGATTTTAATTTCCAAAAACATTTCAAAATTTTGAATTTCACTTTAGAGTTCCGGTAGCGATTATTGCTCTCTTTGTTTTTTTCCCAATTTTGCCCTTAACTACTCCTAATGTAGTTAAGGGTATTATAGTCCTATTAAGTAATTCTTACTAAAATCCTTACATGTATCGGAACCTTAGACGACAGTTAATTCGAAATTGACAGGGGTTCGGAAGGAGATCCACTAATAAGCACATTCCGATCAAATTCCAGCAACGGGTCCCACACGGATGCGGAAAGAAGAGAGAGAAAGGGGTGGAAAGTAAAAATACACGATCTCTCCGGCTCAGCCATTGCTGCCGCCTTCATAACGACCCCATTTGTTCCATCAACTGGCTGTGATTGGGTGTCCAAATCCAACCCCGGAGCCTGGCTCATCGTCCATCCCGACCCCTACCGGCCCCACAGCTGGCAGCCATGGGGCAAGCTCGAAGCCTGGCGGCAGCGGAGCGGGACCGCCAGGGAAGATTCCATTTTCCTCCGGTTCCACCTCTTGTCCGACGGGAATAAAGAACTACTCATGTCTGAGGTCTCAATCAATGCCGAAAAGGGAGGCGAGTTCTTGATAGATACCGATCGTCCGGCGGAGGAGGGGGCGGAGGCCCCCGTGGGCTCCACGGAGGTGGTGGGGTTTGTGATGAGCTTTCGCATGAGGGGTGGAGGGAAGTGTAGCGAGCCGGTGGTACAGCTGGCGGTGAAGCACGTGACGTGCGTGGAGGATGCGGCTATTTTTATGGCTCTAGCGGCTGCTGTTGATCTTAGTGTGGAGGCGTGTAGACCTTTCCGTCGGGGGGTTCGAAAGGGTAATCGACATTGTTGGTGAGATGTGTGTGTATGTGTGTGTAAGTGATGGCTGTATAATACACATGTACATATAACATATGTATATATATATATTTATTCTCAGACCATAGAAGGTCCACCCTAAGCTATCTTGTCATTGTTGTAAGAATTGACATTTTTGTACAGAAATAATTTGATTTGGATTTCTGTGTTGCTACTTCCGAAAAAAATTTGAACATTTTCCACAAATTGTCAGATTCCGTCCGATTTCCACCCCTAATAGCACTGTCGTCACAAACCTTAAATTTCTAAGTTTCCTGATTACAAAATTGTAAGAAAAAATGATACACAATCTACATATTGCAAGCAAATAAATAATAATACATCAAAGGTTACATACTCTACAGTTTGACACAATTAAAACAAAAAATTACTCACACTAGTGTTTCCTTTCCCATTTCCCTTCACGCCTCCCATCCCTTTCTCTCCTCTCAACAATCTGCCTCGATTTGCCACCTCTCGATCCATGTCTCTGACCGGACCCGTAATTACTATTCTGCCCCTCAAGAGCCGAAACCATGTCTGAATCACCAAGACTACCAGTGTCACCCGAATCTTTACTTCCATCAAAATTCTCCTCGTAACTGCTTCCACATTCGTCCGATCTTTCACGCGATTGCAGAATAGTCGGAAGTTGGCCTGAGAAAGAAGAGCCCCTCAGCGGTAGAGTGGTAACTGTCCTCAAGCTGCCTCCTTCGTTGTTACCTTCTCTGCTGTTTTCTCTCTCACGGTACCTATCTCGTGCCCTATTTGCAATGTTTAAGCATGAGATCAGGAGGCAGTTGAATTTTTTTGATAAATCAACAGTCAGGAGGGAATCGCACATCGAGGGTGTTTGTGTAATTTTCAAAACTTAAGGGGTGTGGATGTAGTTACACATAACTCCAGGGGAGGCATTTGAAATTTTTTCGATAAACCAACGGTCAAAATGGGGTTAAGTGTTGGAGGGAATCAAACATCACAAACGTTTGTGTAATTTTCCAAACTTGAGGGGGTGTAGATATAGGTGAGGTAGGTGTAATTCACCCAAATTTTTTATTGATGTATTTTAGATATACAAATAAAGACGGACTTACCTAGTATTATTGGAGGTTGCGAATTCTCGTCTTGATGGTCGGATTCCGGACTCCACTTGTTCAAGTTCCCGTTGGAGATCTCTCTGCGCAATAAAAATAAAAAAATAAAGAACTCGTTTTTATCAAGAATACACAAATTTAAAGCAAAATTACTCATTCCAAATATATCATTAAATATAAAAATGACATGCCTGTGCTTGCTTTTCTTTCTCGATTTCAAGATTGTGACGCAATTCTCTAGTTTTCGCTCGTTCAGCCTCCAGCAACTGCTGTCTCTCGAGCTCCTTCTCTACTTCACTTGTTCTCTCTCTGATAATAATTTAAAAAAAAAAAGAATTAAATAAAATTACACATAGTATGTAAATAAAGATGAAATACCTATCGAGCTTCTGAACTAATTCTGCTTCTCGTAAAGCTGCCTCCTCTAAAAGATTGTTGGCGGGCCCGCCTCAGAAGAAGCTGCTGTGCCTCCGAGCTACTATTCTTCCCTGAGTTTATCTTTTTCTCTGTTGGAATTTTTTTGCCAAAAAACAACAATTAAATTTTACAATGCAAAATCTACCAACTTCTTCAAAAGAAACAAATTGACATGAAATATTAAAAATAAATGAACAGCACTTACATGGATCTAATTCCATCTTTTATTTGCTGCAACCGATGATCACCCCTTGTGTAGGCTGAAAGGAATTAAAATTAGCAAATATGTAAATGAATTAGAGTAAGTGACTTATCGGAGGAATTACTCGGTAATAAATAAAAAATAAAAACATAAAGCCATATGAGGAAGAGATAATATTACTGGACAAAAAGGGTTGGGATTCAAAAGATGAGGCTGGTAGTAGATGCTCTTTTTGCAGAAGCTCCATTTCCATTTCAGCTTCTTCTAATTCCTGAAATAAATGTAAAGAGCTGTTAATTGTTTGATTAAGTAGATTGAGGTAATAAAGTAATAAGGGTACAAAGCCTGACCATGATGTTTTGGTCAGCTTCCGTTGAGAAGAAATCGAAATACGATTTCGCAGAGGTTAAATTACCAATAACCTGTAAACAGTGAAACATAGAAGTGTGAACTTTAGCTTCACTTCCATTTAAATTCTGAATCATTCGCAATCAATGCATGTAAAAGGTTCAAAATAAGACACATTTACAAGGTACCTGAAGGATGGATTCTCGTGTAGTTACAAAATCGGGAATCTCCTGCTTTGGCGAACTTGAAGCAAGCACATCCTTTAAAATCTGCATCCAAAATAAAATAAACAAAAAATATAAGACATGTAAATTATGGAAAAATGTAACACTTGTATAGTTGTATACCCATGACTTGCATACCTCTTTAGCATTTTCTCCATCGTTTTTGAGTCTACATAGCGCTTTGCAAGCCTCTTTCTCGAGACTGGTGCAATATCTATCTACAAAAAATAAAAGATAAAATAAAAATTGCAGTACTCGTTAAATATCAAGTCCAAAACAAATTATTTTACAAAAATGTACCGTTTCCAGAGATTCCAAATGTTTCAATATTTCTCCAAATACTTTCAGGAATCAGTGAGATATCCTCGGATGGAGAATAAAGACAAACACTTACAATCAATGCTAACGAAAATTGTGTCAGTGGGCCATAGCAAGAAGGTTGTGCTAGCTTTGTCAAACACTGAAGAACATTTTCAGCTCCCGCAAGAAAAGACTGCAATTTAACCCTCTCGACAAAAGGTACAAAGTTGATAAGAAGTGCCGTTGCATTTGTCCTTAAGACCAACGACGTGTCTGAAGATGCCACCAATGCAACATTTTCCCATGTAGCCGAAACCAAAGGAGACAAAATCTGTTCAGACAAAAGAACATCTTGGCCAACAAGTCTGCCCAAATGCTTTACCGCAATATATCTTTGCTCCGGCTCGGGATTTCCAAGAAGTGCACAGAACAAATCTACTAGAGAAGCTTCGTTCCGACATATGTTATTTATGCCTCTTTCAAACAACAGTGACATCATCTTATCTATTTGCAATCTCCAAACAATATTCGGTGCATTGTTCGAAAAGTTCTTGATAGCCGAGCATATTCCACTAATCACATAGTCCAGACGGAAAAATCGAGGCACCTTAATAAGTGAGTCGAGCAATACAGAGGCAACCTCCCAGCAATGTTTGTCCTGAAGAATCAAGATCGTTTCAAACAGTCCTTTTAGACCGGTCCCACAAAAATCCGTGAGCTCGTCTATATTCAAACTTAAGCACCTTGAATACACGAAACATTCAGCACACACGAGAGCAAGTTTTTTGGACATTGTGCTATGTAGTTTCCAGCATTGCTCTAAGGTTGGATAAAGTTTGGTAATAAGCGCGTCTAGTTCTTTCGAAAAACTCTTCACTTCTTCCGAATTCAGTTGACGAAACTTCTCCGACACCTCTGTAGGGGAAGAGGGGTTGCAAATATCTTTGAGAAAACATGACGATGACTTGGAAGGATCAGAATCGGAAAGTGACGCAATAGTAAGAGGAATGATTCCCCGTAATCTTGATGTAGCAATGAGTAGGTCCCGACAGTTTTCCATGAGAATCTGGTACGCGGAAAGATAATCATGAAAGGAATTCGATCCCTCGAAGAAGGCAAATTCAGCCCATAATACAGTGGAATGTAAGAGTTCGATTTTCCGACGAAAGGACAGATCACCGAAAACGGAAGCTAATACATATATGATCAGTGCTTTAGATTTTCCTTTCTCCATTTGAGTACCTCGATTTTCATCACTAAATTTAATAGCGTCGAAGAGCTCGCCGAAGCATAAAGATTCGAAATTGTCGAATGAAGCTTCGGTTAATGAGTTTTCTTCATCGGAAACCTTACTTAGAGAATACGCTATGATCGGCTTTAACAACATCAATATCGAATCTAGAAACGACACATCACAATAAGACGCCTTGCACAAAGACACGAGCACTTGCACCACTCTGGGAATTTCTGGAACCGTTGCTTCCATGTGCTCAACAAGAATTGCTTCGAGTACGTACAGAATGACAGCTTTTGCATTTTTAGCAACGAAACCTTTGAAGTAATAATTGGGTTTTTTGTTGTTCTGAATGAAGGGCCACGAGCATAAATCGGAAAACCAACACATCAGATCAGGGACAATGGAGGAAGAGAGAAATTTCAATTGCAAACCAACCGCTTCCAATATAGTTTCGCCAAACGCTACAAATTCTTTCTTCAGATTAGGAAAAAGTTTACTGATATCCGGATATAAAGCATGAAAAGATTGCAGTTGCAATTCATCCTCGATATTAGTATTTTTCCGCTCGATTATGTTATCGACTAGAGAAAGGTCGTCTGCAAATATAGACAAAAGATACGTTAACTGTGGCAAATCAGAAACAAGAAAGAGCCGCTCTTCGATAAATTGCTTTGCATTTCGTGCAACAGCCATCCAACCGCAATATCTAACCAACGGAAAAGCGGAAGAAGAAAAGGTCGGAACTTTCTGCAGCCATGCCGAAGAAGGAACCAAATTGGAGAACCGAAAACCATTTCGAGCATTGATCGAAAGTGCAGATCTTTCATCACTACCACTTGAAGCAACGACTAATCTGTGAAGAAGGATCCATCGATGTTGTACCTTAAACCGGTTCAACTGCGAGTTTCCTTCCTTGTGCTGGTAATGAAATGATTTCAACTGCATATTGAAGGACTCGGCGAAATTTAATATTACATCAACCACATGCTCAGGTGGACAGAATAGTTTAGTTGCTGAATGCAACAGAAACAGAAGAGACCACATCAGAACCTCGTGCCTAGGTTGCTGCTCGCCGTCTAAATCCCTCTGCAGACGCTGTAATAAGAAATTGCATAGGAGGGCTTGATTCTGACGAACCAAGGTAACAGCATCTGCGGAAAGAATATCCTGTTTTGACAAACTTACAACATCCTCATCCCCTTCAACATCCTCTGATGCCACTTTGTGATATTTCCTATCTAACACAGCTGCCTCGATCAGAATTTCGAGAACAACTCTGTCACGTTTCCTCTCAATATCATCCAAGAGTTTCAAGTCGTAATCTTTCTGTCTAAAAATTCTCTCCATTTCTGCGGGTCCCTCGTTCTTGCTGGAACTTTTGGGATGGACTTTGTTCAGCATAAAATATGGATTAATATAACATTCTGCTGCGAGAAGCAAAGCCTCTACAGCTACATCATGACTCTCCTGAGTAGTAATTTCGTTCTGTGAGTTCAAATCCAGAGCTAAACGCCTAAACTCGGAAGCCCTCATCTCACAATCTCGATAGTTCATTAGTTGTGAATAATCAGTCAGCAAATTATCGAGTTCAATATTCTGACCGGCATCTAACGAGGCATCACACGGGATATTCTTCTGATTGGCATAGTCGAAATTTGAACCTGAAGTCTTTGTTTCCGTGCTGGCAGGAACATGAATAAGGGACGTTCTGTTCAGTTCCGGTGGTGCAAAGAGAAGACTTGCATCGTCAGCTATATCTAATTTCCCGTTAATTTCGATAGCATCAATTTTAACGTCAGCATTTTCTTGATTATTTTCGGAAGAGAATTTGCAATCGTCAATATTGGGAGGTAACTGCATCTGAGCATCCAAAACTGAAAGAAGCACGCTGCAATGTAAAGCACTTCAACACGTTACCAATGTACGTAAAAAGGTGTTATCAATGTCACATTGTAAGAAAAATAACAAAATTAAACTGATTAGGATGGAAATTCAGGAGTGTCGATATTACTCTCATAAACGTTCCCAGATTTTGCTTATTGAATTTCTCACTTTTTTCTCTCTTCTTTTTTTTTCAAGTTCATTCAGAAGGAAAGAAAATCTATACATTAATTTGATGATCACAAAAGCAACAAACTTATATTTTAATTTCGAATTGTATTGATCAACTACATTTTTCCTTTCTTTGTAATTAACTACCTTTGGGTTCCTTTATTTATCCAGTCAGTCAAATAGATCAGATATAGTAGGATCAATCTAACAATCGCGTCCTGGAATTTCCAAACAAAACTTAAAGAGAAAATGATTTTAATACTAGTGACAAGCAGGACATATATTTTTTAGTACTTATTGGGGTTATTTTGGTATGTCTAATTCTTTACCAGTTAAACATTATCAATATCTACTTAAATGTAATTCTTTATCAGTTAGACATTATCCTTTTAGAACCAAAAAGAGTCGTATTTCAGTAAGTACTCTGATACTTTTTGAAACAATTAAAAATTCGACTTAAATGCAATTCTTACATGCTATTATTACCTAGGAGCAACCGACCCATGCCTCCATTCAGCCTCCAAAGACGGAAGCACAGCAGATTTTCTTATAGCAGTGCGAATCACATTCAATGCTATAGCACAATTATGTTCCTCATTTTCAGTAAAAATGGAAGACACGTTTCCAAAGGCTACCGTGCCCTTTAAGGAGGTTAAGCAAGGATCCAAGAAAGGTTCTAGCATCTCCACCAAGAAAAGTATTCCGTGTTTGACCTCCTGAAATACACACCATTAAAAATTAACCACAAAAAAAAGGTTGAAGAAGCAATGAATGAGGGGAGAGGTTCAAAATGTTAAGAAAAATTTAGGAACAAATAGAATTTGTGTAGCATAGCATTACCTTAAATTTTGCCATTATATCATCCATGTTCCCTGATAGCGCCAAGACAACATATTTGAGAGCAGCACGTGCACGAGCGTGTGAAATGCTAGCACCCTGTCAAATAAATTATAGAAAAAAAGTCGAATATATATATATATATATATATATATATATATATATATATATATATGACAAATATCAACAGATCTTGTGCAACAAAGAAACCTCCAATATATATATATATATATATATATATGACAAATATCAACAGATCTTGTGCAACAAAGAAACCTCCAATATATAGTCATCTTTAAAAACAAACACTGGACATACATGGATTACACCAAGAAGTTCCTCCAAGATCTCCACAGTCAAATCCACCTGCAATTCGTAGCATAAGAAAGGATAACGAATAAAAAGGAGCACAATGGAAGCAACCAAAATCTATATACAGCATATTATTTTCGTTAATTACTAATACAACCTTTGCAATTACTTGAGCGATCCATGGTGCTAAAACCCCAGAACAGAGATCAATAAGAACACATGCTGCCTTAGCCTGCAAATTGAGAAAATCAACAAGAATATTTAACAGTTATATTTAATGTCAACGACCAACAGAAAGAGATGTTGAAATGATGAAAAACTAACTCATTCCCCTCACCCAGAATGGATCCGCCTTCATAACCATTATTACACTAAGATATAAAGTTTTACTATATCCATGAGTCCAGCAACTAACCTGTGATGGTGAAAAGGATGCTAAATAGCCAGCACAAGCCCGAAGAAGAGGAGAGTAAATCGCCAAAGACGAAGTTGCCACAATCTGCAATCACAATTACCAGAGTCATAAGTACATAGTAAACGGGGAAAAAAACAAATAGCAAAGAGAAGCACTAATACCTGAGAAAGTGCATTTTGAACCAATGCTTGTTTCCAAAGAGAGAAGTTTTCATCAATTCGGTAAGGACTGCTGACAGTAGGACGGAGTGCTGGAGCATCCCAAAAAGAGACGGATGTGTCAATGAAGATCACTAAATTACAAAAATATTATCTCGTAACCAGATACAGTTAGATACTAATACAGAATACCCAATAATTTACAGTTTTATAATCAAAATGAAAATGCAAATGGGTTTGAATGAGTTGTTTCTAAAAGTTGGATATGCTAGGATTGTGTCTGGTTTTATTTTTAAATAGTGGAAATTGTGATAGAGATATGTTACAATTATACTAAAAATATGGAGAAAGGAAGAATGGAGAGTGATGTCTTAGGTGTAATGGAAAATGAGACATCTGGATAACGAATTGGGTGAATTTGGATTCTAGGCAAAAAATTGATTGAAATGTGTACCAATTTTGGATATGAATATATATCGAAGATTTAGAACCAAAAGGAGCTAAAATCTCTTTGTTTCAATGGGAAGAGAAGTAACAGATTCCAATACAAGATGCCAAGTTGAAATTACAAGATTAATTATTTTGCGTACAAGGATGCCGTTTTGGATTTTATAATAACACTGTGTTTTCGTAAAATGCAGCCTTCTTAGTCGCAGCAAAAAAGCATAAATGTTCTAGTGGCTCTTGTAAGAAATGTTGATTATGGCTCTTGTTGAAGCTTGATTAGACAATAAAAAAAAATTTAAACTAAAAAAAAAAAAAAAAGAGTACTTCTTTTCATATCTATAGCTTATGATTATCATATCATAAGAGGATGATTATAGATCAGATGAGTAGGGGACTGCATTTCGTGATTACAGTGAAACTGAACATAGATATTAAAACAAACTTGTGCTCATATGAATTGTGTATGCCTATGATATCATAAAGATGATATCAAAAAGAACTTACACATATAAAGAAGAGGAAATATTATGTTTCAATTTATAAACCTGGAAGCAATGCTTGAATTAGTGGCAATGCCAACCAAAACTCAGGTGTGTTCTCAGACAGCTTACTGCAGTGCAAAGGCTGAAACAAGAATGTAATAAAGATAGTTAATTATTACGGCCAATATGTCGTAATAATGCTTACACTTGAATGTAACAAACCTGGGAAGCTGAAGCATACAAAACATGCATTATTCCTTCTTCAACTGATGCAGAATCTAATACATTAAGGTACATCAGATCCCAAGAATCATCCGGTACATGAAATTCCTCCCCGAACAACGTTGAATAATCAGACAAGGAAATCGGATCAGAATGATCATGTTTAGGATTCTCATCAGCTACAGTAGATACTTCGGGCAGCGTCGTGGGCACCACGAACTTCATAAGAATTCTTGATGCCTACAAATTCACAAGTCCCGAATAAAGACAAAAACAGGGGAGAGAAGAAATGAATGGAATCACATATGTTCTTTTCCAATTAAAAAAAACAAAAAAAGGTAGATAAGGAAACACCAAGCAAATCTCACCATTCTGCACACATTCCCAAGGCTAGAATCCTTGTAAGCCTTTCTAAGGAGTGTAAAGATTGCATCGGGGCGGAATACCAAGTGCGTTGATATAGGTAGGGAAACAGATGATGTGTTCCTCGATCTTCTTGGCTAAGAAGAGAAAAAGCAAGATTAGCAATCAATTCCTTCTGTTTTAAATTGGAGAAACGAAATTAATATCATAAAATCCACGAACTCTCTCTCTCAAAAACCAGGGAAAAGAAAGCAAAATAAGTCACCGATAAAATAGTCATCAACCCACGCTAATTCAGGTGTAATTTACTTCATGAACTTAAATTGTAACAACAGAAACAAGTGCAGTACCTCAAAATTTGAAGAAACGAGCAAAGATGTTGATGGGAGATTGGTCTTAGAAGCTTCATTATCGGAAATGTTGAGAGCCAGCCTTGCAGTTTCTCTGTAAATGCCATAAAAGGGTATTTAAGTAATTTCAAATATATGGATACTTTTATCTAAAAAATAAATCTAAGGCAGAAGGGTTATTTTGATGAGGCAGATCGATATTCATGAACACTCACCGAAACTAACTCAGAACTCTATTCATGGTTTTGTTTTTTAACATGTTTTAAAATACTTGCACCATTTTTTACATTCAACGAACTTTTAAAGTATTTTACCCCCGTTCTTGGTATTTTAATCTGATTGCATACTTTCCGCATCCCTAAGACCAACCAGAAGAACAAGACTATAACAAAGAACCATTTCTTCGGCTATGAAAAACATGGAGCAAGCTTGTTAAGGAGAAGTTATTATTTGCATATTTTTTCTCAATTAAGCAAATCTATAATATGATCTGAAACCCAAAAGTCTATCCAGATCTTTTCTCCACAAAAATTAAACCATAGTCTTAATGAAAGGATCATAACATTACATGAACTACATAAGCTTTTGCCAAAACCGTAGCAAATGACATAAAAGAGCCAGTTTTAACCTACTGCTGAAAAAGCATTCATTTACTCACTGCGTTAAAAAAATTCATACACCCTCAAAATTAATAAGTACAATTAGTTAGAAAATTACTTATAGAAACCAAGGCATGTTTAAAAGGAGCTTCACCTACCTTTCGATTACAATTTGAAGGATGGGATAAAACGGACCAGCAAGCATCGCAAGAAAACGCATACTAGGTTCCGCATCTTCTGCAAAGCTATTAAGATCAGCCTGCAAGAAATTAATTCATAAGTATAAATAAAGTTTAGTACATGACTTATTTTCCTCAGAATATAGTGGACTCTATTATCTATACCTCGAGGTGAGGAAGAAACCTGGCCAACCGACTCGTCACATCTTGAAGCAACTAGAAACGAACAGTTAGAAAATCACGAGCAGCTAAAACGTATGTTATAAATGATCTTAGAAAAATCACGAGCAGCTGTCTTACTCGCGTAAGCTACTGTATTGTTAGTTCACCTGAAGATGCATATCAACAGTATCTTGTTTGTGTGATATTATGTGCGGTAGTAAATAGTTAGCAACAGGTTGAAACTCCGGCTCTAAACCTGGAACTGTAATCCCAATCAGCTGCAATTGGATAAATACTGAATGTAATATTTGGGATATCATGTAGGCAAGACATTATTAGCAGCCAAAGATCAAATTGCCAAACATAAAATTGCTACTTACTGGACATAGAAATGGCCAATAAGCTAAATGATAAAGCAGAGATGCAGTACTAATTCCAATTATACCTGAATAAAAAATAAAGCTATTGGGTTTCCACGCATACAAGATATCCGGACATAGCGGCACGGAGTGTAATTCATTGGATATATCATGTCTCGCCGAGGTGCCTCACACCGGGGGCGAACTTTAACAAAAGTCTCAGGCTGTCAAAGAAAATGTGTAAAGGGAAAATCTTACCTCAAAGGATAAAATAAAGCTTCCACAAGAATATGAGGTAATTTTAAGAGTCACAGCGAAAACTATACCACAACTCGCGAAAGGGAAAAAAACACAGTGGTGAAGCTAGAAATTTAAGATGGCAAGATGTAAAATGTGGAAATGAAAACTGCAAACCGAAGGAATCAAGAATTCACAGTTAAAGCAGCACCCATTTTATTATGGCAAAATGAGTTATGATTCATGAGTAATATTAGGACAAAAATAGTCACGTGCACATAGTAATATTAGGATACTGACTTAATTACTTAATAATGCAAAAACAAATATGCCTGGTTTCCTCTATAAGATTCTAAAAGTCGAACGCTTTCGATTCGGTTAAACCCAACCAACTACTTCAAATAAAACATTTATGATATAAAATAACAACATCATCATTAGGAAAAAAAAAAGAACCTCAACATCCTTATGAAAACAGAACTTAGAAAATGGACATGGCACTAAAAGAGTGGATATTTCGCAAGGATCAATTACTATTTCCCATGGATTACACAATCGCAATTGATTAATTACATATATTTGAAGAAGTAAACTACCGAAACTGAATACATCTATCGACAACCATTTTTCACAAACCTTGTAACGTAATCCAACTGAAATTTCCCATTCCAGCACGGATTTATTATATATCCTTATGTGTGAAAGCAGGCATGGTTCCTGTAACGAACCAAAAAAAATGCATTAGCTCAAAATAGCACAGATAATGTTCGATCAGTAAAAAGGGCAACAAAAGTTAGGCATTAATGTATGAACGCCGGAATAAACAAATAACGCCCTTAATTACCATTCACGAAAGCCTTGTCCGCGTGTCAGCTTTTAATTTCAAAAAGTAAATAAATAAAAAATCAAACTCCCATTGTACCACACGCTATCTAACCCTGCAACAGTTCTGTCGATTTTTTTTTTTTTTTTTTTTAATTATTTCAACAGGTTTAACCAAACATAAACACGTAATGGAATCTTCAACAACTTCTACTAGAACTAACAGTCTCTCTCTTCTTCCAGTACAAAACATCCACTAGGAAAGGTAGTCATGCACAAACGAAGGCGAAAATAGGGTTATCGAGACTATCGATGTTCGCATACAATTCACCAGATTACGTTTACTTGTTAACATTGTTTTCCCCCCTCTTTCAATTCAATTATTGAAGGTTCTATAACTGGTGATCACTTCAATCCCTAAAATTGAATCATAATCAACTAAAAGTCAAGCCGGGAAAAAACATCAAAAAAAACCCTAATCAAATTTCACCACCAGAACACCAAAAATTAGGGGGCAATTTGTAAAATTGAGTTCACGTAAACATACATCGAGCTCGAGTAGGATCCATTCTTTGGTGTTTGTGGCGGTGGACCAGTGGTTGCGGAGGTCCGTGTCCAACACGTGCGCGGCCTTCTGAGCAGGGGATTCTCTCGACATAGCCTTCACTTTGTAACCCAATGCCTTCACCCTCGCCTCCAATTCCACCTCCATTTTTCAGTGTCTTCTCTCTCTCTCTCTCTGTGCAATCTCTCTCCTCTTTCTCTCCTATCGCTACACCCTGTTTGTATGTGAATTGGGAAGAATTCGAACACTGCGGAATTGTGTGAGGGTTTTTACAGTGGTTGATAAATCTTCGAATTGAACTCCATGCTTTGTTGGAGACTTTTGGAGACGTTGTAAATATAAAAATATAATATATATATATATATATATATATATATATATATGAGTAAACTGCAAATACTACCCCTGTGTTATCTCGAAATAGCGAAAACCCCCCTGTGATAAATAAACTAGCAAAAACCCCCCTGTGAAATTTAGTCAAAGGCAGAATCCCCCCTAGCTGATTTTTAGACTGAAA